ACGAAACTAAACAGTGTGATATCTAGCACCAGCTTGTCTCTTGTCCCTAGTAAAGGTTATCTCTCTAACTTTTTCCTATTTATAACAATTTATCAGCACGACTCACTAATGTTAACCAATTCTCATTACCCTTCGCCGAAAAATGCTTCCTCCAAGGATTTTACTGTTCTTTTTCCTCCTCTGCCTCACCTGTTTGATGTACGCTTGCCAAGATCTGTTAGCACCATGCATGCTCCTAGTTCTCAATATAACAATTACTTATATTTTTTTTATTTCTTGTTTGGTGTAGCTCCTGACTACTAACCCAGTGTTTATTTATGTTAATTTTACTGCAATCAAAGATGATGTGGTACAATCGCCCATCTTGAACTGCAGATTTAATTTTACTGCAATTTTAGATGGCGGTATAATCGCCCATCCTGCTCTACCGATTTAAATTTTCCTGTTGCTTGAGTGGTGCAATACAATCGCCCACCATATCCTATATTGTTTCAATTAGATGGCTAACTTGCTGTGGTTTGGCCGGAAAACGACTCAAAAGTCTATACACGGCCACTTTCGAGTAGTTTTATGGCCAAACCACGGTGAGTTAGATATCGAAAAAGGTACCATTCTCTACGTCTCATCGAGAAGTATGATTTTTGTTTTTGAATCACTTGATTTTGTTGAGTATTGAAGAAGTTATGAACGTTTAAAGTTTACCCAGTTTCCGGCGAGTTTTCCAGCTTTCTCTCGAACCAGTCAACTTTGAGGCTATTTTCTGGCCATCTCTGGTACCCATTGGGCTTCTAAATAGGTATAATATTATTCTACACTTTCCTATCTTTATTTTGATATATTATGGGTCGAATTTGGTTAAGAAATGATTGAGTTACGAAGCTTTGAAAATTGCTCAAACTTCCGGCTAAGAGCTCAAGGACACTTAACGGAGTTTTTAACGGAATGACCAAAATGATGGATGGTGGACAATCTCAGGGACCACTTTGATTGATTTGAAATGTTAGGGACCAAAGTGATGAGTTATGCAAATCTCAGGGACCATTTTGGCTATTTAGCCTTAAGATATTTGTCTTGCAGACAACACAACCACACATACAATAATTCAAGATCAAAAATATTTCTCAAACTTGATGCTTACAAAAGTAAAGGTAACAACAATATCAGGCCAATCAGATATAATTAAAGGCTCAGGAAAGGCCCATATCATGTTACCAAATGGAACAATATTGTCCATACAAAATGCGTTGTATGTTACTCGATCTACTTGAAATTTGTTGAGTTTTAAAGACATACATTTAAATGGATACCACATTGAAACGAAAAGTGCAAAAAATGTGGAATATATATGCATTACCTCTAATGATACCCTTAAGCGTATATTGGAGAAGTTGTGTGGTTTATCGAGTGAATTATACTATACATACATAAAGACAATTGAAGCATAAACTGTCATGAACCAGAAGTTCATTGATCCAAAAATTTACATGCTTTGGCATGACCGTCTGGGTCATCCAGGATCTAGCATGATGCGTAGAATCATTATCAACTCTAATGGACATCCATTATTGAGCGGACACATTGCTATATCAAATGATAACCCTTTCAAGGCTTGTTATCAAGGGAAGTTGGTAATTAAACCATCATAACTAAAGATTGATGCTGAATCCCCATCATTTTTTGCAAAGAATTCAAGAGGATATTTATGGGCCTATTCAACCACCTTGTGGACCATTTTGATACTTTATGGTTTTGGTTGATGCATCTACCCGATGGTCACATGTTTGCCTCTTGTCTACTCGAAATATTGCTTTTGCCAGACTTCTTGCTTAGATAATTAAGTTGCGAGCACAGTTCCCAGATTACCCTATTAAGTCAATCCGACTTGATAGCGCTGGTGAATTTACGTCTCAAACCTTTGATAATTACTGCATAACACAAGGCATTGATGTTTAACACCTATTCCTCATGTCCATACTCAAAATGGTTTAGCAAAAGCATTTATAAGATGTTTCAATTAATAGCTCACACTCTGCTCATTAAAACAAAATTGCCAGTTTCTGCATGGGGACATGCCATCTTACATGCTGCATGATTGGTTCGATTGAGACCTATAGCCAATCATCAATACTCCCCAGTACAACTCGTATTTAGGCATCAACCAAACATTTCACATTTATGAGTTTTTGGTTGTGCTGTTTATGTGCCTATTGTACCATCACAACGCACTAAAATGGGACCTTAGCGCAGATTGGGAATTTATGTGGTTTTGATTCACCATCTATCATTAGATATTTGGAACCCTTGACTGGTGATATGTTTACAGCTCGTTTTGTGGATTGTCACTTTGATGAGACTGTCTTCCTATTGTTAGGGGGAGAAAATACCATTCCAGAAGAACGACAAGAGCTGACATGATTGTACCCACCTTATCTCATTTTGACCCACGAAGCACTCAATGTGAAAATGAAGTGAAAATGATTGTTCATCTTTAAAGTATTGCTAATCAAATGCCAGATGCATTTAATGATGCTACGAAAGTGACAAAATCACATATACCAGTTGTAAATGCGCCTACAAGAATTGTGCACTCCTGAAGCGTGGTAGACCCACAAGTTCAAAAGATTCAGCCCCTCGAAAAAGAAAGATAAGGACACAAATGAATCCAAATGAAATCATTCAGGAAAAGAAAAAGAATGACAAATCCACATTTCATGATTCTTAAAAACAAAATGTCATTGATGAGACGCATGTCCCTGAAGAGACAGAAGTACATGAAAGCAAAGAAATCTCCATAAATTATGCATGTACTAATGAATTGTGGGATCGAAATAAAATAATCATCGACAACATGTTTGCATTCGTAATAGCCACTAAAATCATATTAAGCGATGATATTGAGCCCAGTTGTGTTGATGAATGCAAACAGAGATAAGATTGGCCTAAGTGGAAAAATGCAATTCATGCATAATTAAATTCCTTAGAAAGGCGAAGTGCTTTTGGACCTGTAGTCCAAACCCCGCCTGGTGTAAACCCTGGGGGTTACAAATGGGTATTCACAAGAAAGCACAATGAGATAAACGAGATTGCAAGATATAAAGCACGACTCGTTGCACAAGGTTTTTCACAAAGACCTAGAATTGATTATGAGGAGACATACTTTCCTGTAATGGATGCAATTACATTCTGTTACTTAATAAGTTTGGTGGTTTCAGAAAAACTTAACATGCGACGTATGGATGTCATCACCGCATATCTATATAGAGAATTAAATACTGACATATATATGAAGGTCCCATAATGACTTAAGTTGCCTTAAACGACTAACAAACCACGAGGTATGCTCTTAATCAAATTAAGGCGATCATTATATGGGCTGAAACAATCTGGACGAATATGGTATAATCATCTCAATGAATATTTGATCAAAGAAGGATATACCAACAGTGTCATTTGCCCTTATATGTTCATTAAGAAATCAAATTCTGGATTTGGTATAGTAGCAGTATATGTTGATGATATGAACTTAGTTGGAACCCTTGAAGAGCTCTATAAAACTGCTAAATATCTGAAAAGAAAAATTTGAAATGAAAGACCATGGAAAACAAAATAATGTCTCGGCCTGCAAATCGAACATTGTGCTAATGGAATTTTGGTCTTTCAATCAGCTTACATTGAAAAAATCCTGAAGCGATTTGGCATGGACAAGGCTTATCCACTCAGCACGCCAATGGTCGTTCGTTCTCTGTACATTAAGAAATATCCATTCCGTCCAAAAGAAAATGATGAAATGGTCTTTGGTCCAGAAGTATCATATATGAGTACAATATGTGCTTTATTGTATTCAGCACAATGTACTAAACCAGATATAGCTTTTTCAGTCAACTTGTTAGCAAGGTATAACTCTGCTCCAACAATTCGTCACTGGAAAGGAGTCAAATATGTTTTACGATACCTTCGTGAGACAACAGACATGGGTCTCTTCTACTTAGAGAAATCCACAAATGACCAGATCCTTGTTGGATATAGAGATGTTGGTTTTCTCTTTGGTCCACATAAAGCCTGCTCACAAACTGTATATGTGTTCACTAATGGAGATACAACAATTTCATGGTGCTTAACAAAGAAAACATTAGTTGCTACATCTTCCAATCATTTTGAAATACTTGCTTTACATGAAGCAAGTCGTGAATGTTCTTGGTTAAGATAAATGATCCATCATATCCAGAATTCATGTGGTCTACCTTCAAAGACAGACACTCCAACTATCATTCATGAAGATAATGCAGCCTATGTTGCCTAAATGAAGGAATGATTCATCAAGGGCGAAATAACTAAACACATATTTCCAAAGTTTTTTAGTGCACATGAGCTTCCGAAGGCTAAAGTTATTGAAGTCAGACAAATCTGTTCCAATGAAAATTTGGCAAACCTATTTACCACATCTCTACCAAAGTGCACGTTTCAGACGCTAGTGCATGGTATCGGATTACGTCGACTTACCAATCAGTTAAACTTGAAGAACGCGAAATCAGGGGGAGATACATATTAAGGGGAGCATCCATGATACGTACATGTTGAACTCGTTTTCCTTCGACTAGGATTTTTCCCACTAGGTTTTTCCTATATAACGAGGCAACATAAGCATACTTAACACTATATCAACAATCCAAGCAAAGTTGTACTCTTTTTCTTTCGCTACAGCTTTTCCCACTGGGTTTTTCCGAGCAAAGTTTTAACTAGGCAACTAATGTTGAAATGTGGGCATCTAAGGGGGAGTGTTGTAAAATTATGATAATGAATGCCCACAGTAGTGTATTTGTTATTATATGAAGTTTTCAAAAATGCCACAGTAGTATGATTGTTATCATGTGAAGTTTTCAACATTTCACTTTTTGGTTTGTCATGGATGTGGCTCTATATAAAGAGCACTCCGTGTGTGATTATAATACACAGAAAAGAAAAGTAAAGCAATAATATATATCATTATCCCTCCCTTCCTCTTTTTCCTGCAATCTTTTGTTTTATAGTTACGAAACTAAACGGTATGATATCTAGCACCCGCTTAAATGAAACCTATCTTTTCATGTACCTCTCTAACTTCTCTCATGGTTCAATACAAATCCATGCACTCATCTCATTACAAATTCAACTTCCAAATCTGCAAAAACACAAACCCAACAAATCTCTAGTGTTCCTGCTCATCCTCTAATTAATATTAATTAATTAAATGAAAAATTGGAAGGAGGACTGCAATAACCAAGCTGCATGCCAATGCCATCATGTAAATTACACAAAAATAAAAATAAAAATAAAAAACTGACCATATATTATTCATGTCATTGAGAACTGTTTGGGCCTTCATCTCCACTATCCGTAGTTTGATGCTGGTGGTGTTGTTGTTGATGATGATCCAACGGATGCTGATGATTCTGCTGGTGATCGGAATTCATATTTAAACCTCCTCTAGAGTAAGCATTAAGCGCTGCCAGCATGCCTAAATTCGACTCGGAAACTCCGAGGCCGAGATGCTGAGACGGTTGTTGCTGCATTAGCATGGAGCCCAACTGGAGGGGACTCCCTCGGCTGCCGGCTTGCTGGAATTCAAGACTGCCCGGAAGATTGAACCTCGGCATGAAATGTAATGGCGCTTGCAATGTGCTTACGTGACTGGCGGTTGCGGACGGGAATGTCCACATTTGGGTTGCTTCTGAAGGACCTGCCCCAGATGTTCCGGTGGCCATAGAAGGTACAGCCGAACCAGCAGTTACTGGCAGCATCCAGAATGTGCTGCCAGCACCGCTTGTTGGGGCTGGTGCCACTGCCCACATCGCAGTGGCGGGTAAGATGTTTGAAGGCCTCAAAACCCCGGAAGAATAAGATCCTAGCTCCTCTCCCTGCTGCTGCTGTTTTGGCAATTGTAACCCACAACTACTCCCACCCTTAAATGCCTTGTTCCTGGACGGCGATCCTACTCCACCACCGCTGCCGCTTTCTCCTCGCTCTTGATTGTCATCCTTGAACAAATCTTCTCTAAAGCGTTTTCTCATATAATTCTCAGTCGATTCTCCACCGCCGCCTCCGCCACTGTCTCCGCCGCCACTTGGAAGCGCTTCTGCAATTTCATCTGCTGTCATGAGAGGAGACTGATGCGGCTGATGATGATGCTGTGGATGCTGCTGCTGCTGCTGTTGAGGTTGTTGATGAAACCCCAACAGACCCGAATGGGCAAAACCCTCGTCGTAGTGAGGGCGGTGGGTGAGAGCCAAGGCGCCGTGAAAGGAGTGAGGGGCGGACTTGGAAGGCGGAGCAGAGAGACTTGACCCACTGCTGCGCAGGGATATGTTCAAGGTTGAGAAATTGGCTGGGATGGTGCCTGTTCCGGTAGTGGCGATGATGGAAGGCTCAGCTTGCTGGAGGAGCCACTCGATGGTCTCGCCGTCAGACTTATGTCCCAGTTCTCTGGTCAACTGGAAGACTCTGGCCGCGCAGGTTGCCGGCATTCGTATGCGTCGGCCTCTGCCTTCAACTTTTGTGTGTCGGTCCTTGGTGGATCGTTTGGCCACTGGAGTCGTTGTTGCTGCTGCTGCTGGAGGCGGAGTGGTGGCGGGTGAAATGGTCAGTTGCTGTTGAATTTGGTTATTTTTGGCGGAGTCGAGAAGGGAGCCGGGTCTGGTGGGTGGGTGGGGATCGGATCTGGTGGCGATGGCGAGGGAGGCGTCGACTAGTTGGGGAGGGGCGGTGGAGGTGGAAGTGGAGGAGGGGGAGGAGGTGGAGGAGGAAGAGGAGAAAGATGAGGAGGAAGGAGCAGAAGTTGTTGGTGGTGGTGGGGTAGAATGGGAAGTGGTGGTGAGGCCAGCTTGAATTGAGATGGAGCCCATGGAAGGATGTCCTCCTCCTCCTCCCCCTCCTCCTGAAGAAGATCTGATGCCATCAAAGGGGCCCACAAAGTGGGAAGAAGAAGAAGAAGAATAAGAGGAAGAGGAGGAGGGGTGTTGTTGTTGGTGGTGGTGTTGGAATTTTTGTTGAAGATGAGGAAGAAGATGGTGGTGGTGGAGACTTGTGGTGTTGTTAGAAGTGGAAGTGGAAGTGTTGCTGTTTTGCTGCTGCTGCTGCTGCTGCTTCTTGTTGTTGTTGGGTTGGAAATTTGATAAGTCCATTTGGTAGGGAAGGGTTTGGACTTGGAGGAAGAGAGAGATGATATCTTTATTTTTATGTGTTTTTTTGTTTCTTGGGTTTTAAGTTGCTGTTGGCTGATTGATCTTGATCCACTTCGTCTCTCTCTCACTCATCAGTCATCCACAATAGTAATTTTCTTTTTCTTCTCTCTCGTCTTTCTCTCTCTTGAGCTGGGTTGGACTTTGGACTTTAGAGAGAGAGAGAGAGGGGGTGAGGTGGAGTGAGAATCTCTTTAAAAATATGGCAGGGTTTGGATTGGAGTTGGACCAAGCTAAGACCAACTAAGAGTGAGTTTGTGGGGTTCTTACTTTCTTGGTCTATGATTAACTCTTGTCCTTCCCCTGCGCAGCACCAGAAGTAGCACTTACTCTTTAGAGAGAGAAATATCTAAGAGAGAGAAATTAGGTCAAGCAGGTGAGGGTCCTTTGTGGTGGAGCTACTAGCTATGAGGAAGGAAGTAAGACAAGAGAAAGAGAAAGAGAAGACCCCTCCGCCCTCCACTCGTGGGGTCTGGTAAAAGGAATGATAGGAATCCACCTCTCTTTTTTACACCCACATTTATGCCTGCCTGAACCCCTCCTCGTCCCCAGTAATTTTGTTCATATTTTTTTGGTTTTACATCCAACAGTCTCTCTCTCTCTCTCTCTCTCTCTCTCTATAAACATTCTCCTTAATTTTCCTATTCTTTTTTTTCTGTGCTTTGAAAACCCAAAGTCACCCACCCAACCAACACTGTTCTAGGGGCAACTTGGTCTTCTCAAGAGTCCTCCAGCGGCCCTTTTAACAATAATAGAGGTGCCCACATTCATAAACAAGATAAATATCAGAGTTTTCCACTCATATATTTCTTTTACCATTCTGCAGAATTTCAGGGTCAGACCAGAATATGTTATGAAATGGTAAATTACTGATATAGGAGGGAGGGAGGGAGTGGGAGGGTGAGTCAAGTTTCTCCCAGTCGAGAGCAGGGAAGCAAGCGGCAAGCAGCTAGACGGCGCACGTAAGCATGCAGATAAAAGCATCTAATGCACTAGCAGGACAGCTCATCCCAACCCATTGATTTCTAATATATAGAGATCGGTGGAGGATTGGAAGAGGACTGCTTACTTGTTGCTTTGAAAAGAGATGAACTGTTCCTCTTGTTTGTTAGCTAAAATGTAATTAGCAACTTATATGTAATATGTAAGAGCTTTTGGTTAGTGCAAAGAGGAATGCTTGGCTCCTTCAAATAAATGAGGAGTTTCTCCTCAAGATACTTTGTGATCGATTCACAGATTTTTATGTTTATAATTCAAATTATTTATGTTATAAATTACTCTATAAATATCATCTCCGTCCTTAATCCATCGATTGTATGAAACAGATAGACAATTCGTAATGTTTTCAAATCCAATCATTTGTTTTTATACAATTCAATGACTAAACAATCTCATATTTTATTGAATTTTTGCAAAGATGATATTTACATAGTGATTTATAATATGAACGGTTTTGATCACAAGTATGAAGTTATGTGAAAATGTTATAAAATATCTTGAGGGGGAACTCCTCCTACTCATCCATTGAGGAGCCAAGTTAATTCATAGTGGAAAAAGAACAATTGTTGGCTACTCAATAATGAGGGAGAATTCCTCATCAAAATGTTTCGTGACCAATTCACATAACTTCATGATTTTGATCAGATCCATTAATATTGTAAATCATTATGTAAAGATCATTTTTGCAAAAAAAATAAATTAAAACAATGGTCATTTAGTCAATCAACTGCAACAAATAGATAATACTTTTACCGATCCGATCATATATTTTTATACAATTTAATGACTAAACGATTTCATATTATTGATTCAGTTAGATAGTTGATTCCTCTAAATCAGTCTCGTTTGAGGAAGAGAGTTGATCAAACTTTAGTTCACAAGTGGTGTCACTAGTAGTACAACTTAGTGGTATTCTTTTTTAACTTACAAGTGAGAGGTCTTTACGATTGAATTCTCATGAATGATGAATTTAATAAGTATATAATTATAGTTGCTCTACTGTGTTTTTTTTTCCAAATCTCTTCGCAGTAATGTTGTATGAAAAAAGACTCTATGATGACTACTAATATATGTATCGAACTAAAAGTTGGGTAAAGATTCTCATTTCGATTACGGATTAGTAAGCGAGCATGCATATATCTAACTAAATATTGGATGAGGGTTCTCTTTTTGGCATTGCATGGATGGATATAATAACATTGAGTTTTGGTAACATTTATGCTAATTATCTTGATAACTTTTGAATTAGTGCCTAAAATAAAATACCTCAGTAAATGTCCCAGAGTAAAAGTTTGAGAGAATTCTCTTTTCCTACTGATCTAACAGATCAATACAACTTGGCTTAATCACCATTATATTTGATTGGATGCCTAAATTTTTGGGTTGTTGTCTCATACATTTGCTTATTTAATTTCCCATTAATTAGTGAAGCGGTGTGCTTATCTTTAACTGTTGGGTAGCTTACCACCACGTTTATTATCATTGGATTAGGTTAAATTTTGTAATTATCTCAAACTGTTGAGTAGCCTTGTTTACCACCCTACTTATTATCATTGGATTATGTTAAATTTTGAGATTTATATCTATACACTATCCAGATCTCGAAATTTAAACTTATTTAATGATGACAAATATAGTGGTAAGCATTACCATCATTTGAGGGTGGTGAAAAGACAAGTTGTAGTAGGGATTGCAACACAGCTAGAGGCGGAGGGAAAATCCAATGTACTTTACTGCTTAGTCTGGTACTTTATTGTTTAGTCTAGCTTTTACAGAAGCTTCAATAATTTGTGAATTGGTTGTCGCATTAGCTCTTTCCCATTTGACTAAGGTTTTTAACAAGGTGAAGTTAGCAGAATGATTATAAAGCATCATTACCAACAATGATGATGATAGGGATACAGGATTTTTATAGACAATTTCTTTCAATTCTCAATTTTTTTTCCGTTTATTTTTACTTAAAAAAAATCTACATATAATAGTAATTCAATCCCCATTGTTAAGACTTTGTTTAAGATTTTTATGACTACGGTTCTAATCAATGGCAAGCCATTGCAAATGCGGTTGTTAATATTTTACAGAGACAGGTTAACGGCTCACTATTAACCATGACAAGTGCGAGAATTTTATCACAAAAGATAGATTACTCATATCAATTATATGATGATGATACATCTTCTACAAGGGAGATCTTATGTTTTACTAATATAGTAAATAGTAAAATAAAATTATAAAGCCTAGATCTCTTTTTGGTGTTTTATTAAACACATGACATCTACGAGAGTAAAATTTAGACCCCGTCTTACAAGGTGAAGACTGAATTCTAAAACTTTACTAAACTTCAGATGCAAGAAAAAGATAAAATACAATTAAAATGTTCAAAATCTAGATAATCTCCCCTGTTGAAAGGTGCAGATGTTACTTGAACCCTATTTTATTTTTTTCCCCATTTTTTGCATCACTCTTTCTAGTTTGAACACCTCTTTCCCTTAATTTTGTGCTCTTAGGTGACCACAAAAATAGGCTCGCTTAGCACAAAGCATTACACATAACTGTTGTGATATGTCTTGAACTCTAATTTTCGTCTGGGTTTACTCGGCGCTGACCTTACTACAGTGTAAAGTGGTGAGCATTTGAATTGTCAATTTCTTTTTTACTCGTCATCAATGAAACTCAAACTTAAAATCTCTCACTTACAAATGATGAGATTCGAACCTGCATAAACCCAAACCTAATCCAAACTTGAATTGAGAATGTTAAGTTAGAGTTAGGTTGACCATCTAACCTGCCCAACTAGCCCAAATGGCACTCCTAAACACTTGGTTTGGGCGCGCATATCATTTTCAACTTTCTCATTTAATCATATTTGAAAGGGAACTAGCAACAATTAATTACAATAGACTAATTGCTTGCCACTACTCAGCCAGGCAATCCAACTTGGACCCATTCGCTTTTATAAATTATTTTAATTTGAACAGATAATCATCTAGCTTAATTAATTCTATGAATAACCACACAAATCCAACCCACATCCCTATCTTTATCAGCATAACCATTTTTAATTCAACAACAAATATATAAACATTTTTGTATTAGACAATAGAACAAATACAAAAATTAAACCCTAACAATGATTTTTATTTTATTTTAATGAGGATGATGAAGAATTAGGCAAGTCAAATTACTCATAAGGCTTCTTTGACAAAAAAAAAAATAATAATAATAATAAAAACCTACTCATAATGCTTGGTCATTAAACTACAAAAGTAGCCTTACTCTCTAACACTCACAATGCGGTCAGAAAGAATCAATACCCAAGGTTTAAAGCAGACCTTGACCTCTCTCTTCTTTTCCTATGTGCGTATCAGTTGCGGTTTCAACTTTTTTCTAATTTTAATGAGGATGATGAAGGATTAGGCAAGTCAAACTACTCGTAAGACTTGGTCATTGATCTACAAACGTAACCTTACTCTCTAACATGCACAATGTGATCAGAAAAGCCAATACCCGAGATTTAAAGCAGACCTTGACCACTCTCTTCTTTTCCAATGCACGTATCAGTTGCGGTTCCATTTTTTTCATTTGGATTCCGCACTTTGGGTAATATTTAGTAGTATGGGATTTGGAAGGCTCGAAACAAAGTTATTTAAAAATGAATTATAAAATGTTAGATGGAATTAGGAATGTCATTCTGGTTCTAGAGTAGATCAAAAGCATTTGAAAGAGATTTGCAAATACCTGACTCGACAAAATTATGAAGGAATTCCTTCTCAATACACTTTGTTGTTGATTCACTGAAGCATTTATAAATCACCATGTAAAGATCATATTTGTTAAAATATTGATAAAATATGAGAACCATTAGTTTTCAAACTATATAAAAACTTATGGTTAGAATCGGTAAAAGTAATACGAACTATCTATCTATTTGCCACGAAGCATTTTGAAGAGGAATTCTCCCTCATTCTTGAGTAGTCAAACAGTATTTTTTTCACCAAGAATTAACTTGGCTGATCCCCAACGGATGAGAAGAAGTTCCTCCTCATGATGCTTTATAACATATTTATAGTTATTTTATTCGACAACATATTCGAGGGGTTGGAACTCACTTCTTGTAAATCTCATTCGATTTAGAATTTGTTGTCGCATGAGGCAGACCTAATAAAAAATTTCTCGTAAAGTAGTGATTTAGTTATTTAAATCTCATCCGATTTAATTTCACTGCAGCGCTTGTGAGGTGGGGGGGAAAGAACAGTGGTCACAGTGGGGAATTACTGTTGCTGCATTATACTCCTTTGTTTGGTTCTCCGTACTCGATGGAGACGCATCGCACCCTCTTATTATTTATTTATTATTATTATTATTATTATTATTATTATTATTATTATATCACTTAAATCCCAATTCCAAATCTTCCAACTAACCAATTTAATTAAATTTCCAAATTAATTACATCAAATTCCAAAAATGGTGTTGTCACAGCTCACAGGCAGGGACCGGCTTCTCTGCCCTTCCAGTTTCATACAATCTCATCATCTTCTATTTTGTGCGGTCACGGTTAAGCGATTTCAACATTTTATATTGATTTTTTTATAGAAATAATAAGACAAAAAATAATAATGATATAAAATATTGATGTGACTTAATTGTAACAGCACAAATAAGAGGGAATAGGCTATGAGAATTAGGAGGGCAGAGAAGCCAGATCTCACAAGCAGATGCCAGACCACCCACATGGGAGGATGACGACTTACCGATTAAAGCCGTTGATTATTGGTCTGTTTTTTCAGATTTTGTGCACGGCTGTCAGCCTAAATTTACCGTAATATCCCATCATTAAATGTTTTTTCAGTGCTGATCTTCATTTCTTTCTGTTCCCTTTTACTTTCTCCTTTTAACATTTATCCCTTTACTCATTTACTTTCTTGCCCGATAAAGTAAGAGGTTAAAAACTGTGATCCTTTATTACTCTGTGTCACATCATACTTTAACATTAATATTATGTCAACAATATAAAATATTGTGCTCAAAATATAAGGTGATATAGAGTTTATAAAGAATCTCATTAGCATTTCCCTTTACTCAAATTCAAGTCAAAGTTGATAACATTTTAGGTTCAATATGGTCCACTAACATTATCGATTGTCTTAACTTAAAACATCTACAATGAGAGTCTTTATTTAGCAACTATCATCACTAACTTTGAGGATCATTTTGAGACTTTTAAGGGAATATTCGGGTTCCTAAAGGAATATTGTCAGCAATGGGAGGTCCTTATAGCATAATACATAAATGTAAGGACTAAAATATTAAAAAAAAACGTTGTTCATTTCGTTGGAGTATTGGGACCATTGATGAAAACGAAAAACACCTATCTCTAACGTTGGAAGAAAAAAAAAACCAAAAAGAGAAGTTGTTGTGTAGCATTCCCAAAAAGAGAAAAAATCCAAAAAGATGCCTTCCACATAGGTAACAGTTGGTTCACTTTTTGAGTCCTTATATACAGTCCTCACATTTGAGGATTTCTTTGAGGTATCGGGTGAGTCACTATATATTGAGATACTTTGGCGACTTCTATTCTGACCCATTGGAAGCCTTTTGTCCCTATATTTAGATACTATACGTACGATTGTAGGGACTCCATTTAGAGTTTCCATTGGAATGCTCTTAACCACCTATAATTAGTGTCGACTTTATTACAAAAGGCTTAGGTGATATTAGGGGCGAAATTTGTTGTGTGCTAGTTGTATATTATTTTTTGTCATTTATCTGATATAGGATCATATTCTCCAACACCATGAAGATAAGAAAATCAAAATACTTCTTGGTATATAATATGAAAATGGCGTTGTTTAGCTCTGAAAAAATAGAACTACAGGCTAAAATTTCTAGAACAATTTTCACCATCACAAACTAAGAGGATAGTTGCTTAGAAAATAACCTCCGCAAAAATGTGACTTCATGGTATAGAATCAAAATGTCATACTAAGAAGCGTATATCCTTAATAATAGTACGCACTTTTTACGGGACTGAGAATCAACCAAGGATCGCATCAGCGACAAGTTTAGAATCTCCTTTCACTTGAACATGAGATATGCTTGATGCTTCGTAGGATTGCAAAATTGAGAGCATCTCGAAGACTAACAGCTTCTAATGGGAGTTGTGGTAGAGCCAAGTGTTGAGGTCCAAAATTTTGTACAATTTTAAGTAATGCTAATGTCGTACCAAATAATGAAATATCTCTCGAACCGTGTTTTTCATATTTCTTTAAACTCGACACTAAGCTTACAAGCATTAACTGCTTGTTTATTTTAGATGGATCCATAGCAATCCCGATATTTACAGGTACGTTTTCTACCATGCACCATAGCTAGAATCTTTCATTTGTCCCCATCGACAGGAAGGTTTGGCACCTCGGTGTCGGCTCTTCGCCACCTGAAGGAACAAGTAAAAGTTATGTCTACAAGTGGGCCGGGATAGCATTTCTCGTCATTGATAGGGCTCCACATGCATAGCATCTAAATACCCGGTACATGGTACGCTGTGGGTGGGCTCTACTCTCTACTTCTCCAGTCTCTAGTGCAGTGCAGGACCTGCGTCTTTATATATGTAAATAATATATACACACACAGGGAGTCCCGATGAAACCTTGTTGTGCTAACTTCATAAATTTCTTTAACGAGCCGAACTGTTTAAATTTCAATCCATCATTGATAGAGCCTCATTGCAAAAAATTAGAGAAATTCAAAACCCATTTAATCCAACTATCATATATGGTTTCGATTTAAGTAAGCCTTAAAAAAAGAAATTGTTATTGACACTCTAAAAATTTCATTTTGCACTCCAAACTTTCTATAATTAGAAAGAAAACACACTAGTAAAGAGTGTAAAATGAGATTTTAAAGTACTAATAACAATTCTCTAAGAAAAAAACCTAAAAGCAGTTTACTACGAAACCCACTTTCTGTAATCTGCATGTTTAAACCAGGCCCAATGGGCCATATTAGACCTTTCTGTTCCATTAAACAATGCCACGAGAGAATTCAAAGACATGCCACATAGACCAAAACAGGAGAAAGAGAAAGTTAAAAAACTGCTGTTCATAAGGTACATGCACATGGAACGTGCAGGACGACTAATTGGGGCGCATAGCAGGTTCGAAATACCGGACTCCTGGTGTCGAGGCCGTAGAGCTCTTGAAGCCCCTCAGTAAGGGCTGTCCATAATGAGTAACGTTCATATTGTTGTTGTTGTTGTTGTTGTTTGTTGTTGTTGCCGTGGTTCATGTTGTTCGGCAACAACGATCTGCATTTGGAGACTATACTTGTCCAGTCCTTGGCCATAAGAACAAAAGCTTCGACTTTTGTATGGCATTTAACGGTTTGTGGGGAGATTGGAAGTTGCGACGGAGATGACTGCCGGTAGAGAAGCTCTTCGCCGTAGAACTGGCCTTTCTTAAGCATGTTGGTTGGCATTGATGAGGATTGAGAACCTGATGATGATCCACCACCATGTCGATTCTGATCACCGCCCACATAAGTCCATATAAACCCTTCCGTAATGAAGATCATCCGATCGAGAAGGTCTCCTGTTCGCACAACGAAGCTATTCTCGTCGTACGTCACTGGCCTCAGATAGTCGCAGATCATTTTTCAACACTTTTTCATCCATTTCTTTGAGCATTGGTACCTATACATGTTATATGCATGCATGCATATTAGCTTAATCATATTTAATTAATCACATCATATAGATTATTAATCATATAAAGATATAAGAGGTGTTGAGGTTGCACATACTGTCCTTAGGGTATTCATGAAGAGAAAACGCTTTAGGGTTTTCTTGGTGTACCAAGGAAGAATGGAGAACAGATTCTCCAGATCAGCATCTTTGTTTTCTTTCAGTTTTTGTTTTACGTTTTTCTTGATCTCTTTTTTCAAATCTTCTGGGAGATCATTTTTCACCATCCACTCTTCTATTTGTCGCTCTTTCATCTTAATCTTCTGTCTTATATCCTCCGACCTTGTAGTTGCCAATTGCATAAACGTCTGTATGTACGTACGTCACACAACAAAAATACTTGTTATTGGTAATTCTATTTAACACAAAAGAAAAACTGATATGACACTCTATAATACATATTGAAAATAAACCCTAATCAAGAAGGAAATTAAATGAAAATTTTAAGGAAAAATAACAGAGGGAGTGCTTTAAAATTATTGAAAGACTTTTAGTGAAAATATTTTTGGAACCAATCTTAGTAAAAAAGCAAGTGAATATTGGAAAAATATTCGAAGTTCTTTGTGGAAAAAGTACTTAAGTGTTGTTTTCTCCAAGAAGCACTTCAAGTGCTTTCTGGAACCCAAAAATACTTTTTTTTAAAAACATTTTCGATCATTTTAAAAAACACTTTTAAATAAGCTTAAAGATTTAATACCAACCTGTACATTTCCTATGAGATATAAAAATAGGAGTAATCCAATGATAGAAATAAGAATTGCAAAGATGTTTTCCCACACATATGTACTTGTTGTCAGATTTGTGCCAAAGTTGCTGCAAAAAAAAATAAAATTCAAACGATGATCAAGAAATGTGACAAAATAACATAAAAAATGTACATAATAATTAGTTGTCGATGAATTGCCAACCTTAAATTTCGCAGTCCCCACCAAAACGAGTAGAACAACTTGCCCGGGAAATCCAACGACGCCGCGTTTCCAGATCGAAGAGAATCAAGAAATATTCCGAAATCAAACGGCCGTGTAGTATTTTCAGGAACATTTATTGGACAAAATTTATCTAGAAATGATGTAATATTTCTTGGGGTAGCACTGTCGTCACAGTAAAAAGTACTCAAGTCTGTCATGTTATGTTTTCTAAATGTCCGATACCAAACATGATGTCTCGTCTTGAATAGAAAAAAAGTACCAAAAAGCTCCAAGTACCTAAAACACAAGAAGCTAATTAATTATATATCGTAAAATTAAGGGTAAATTCTTAATTAGTATAAATGTTTAAGTCAAACAATAGTTAGTTTTACCAAACTAAAGACTAAAGTGAATTACCGCTCGAGTTAGTCAAATGGCAAAGGAGAGTAGGATGACAGGTAGGAGTAAGTTAATTTAAAAAGATAAATAAATTGACAATGGAATAGAAACTTACATGACTTGCAAGGATGTAAAGGACAAAATAGAATACACCTTTGGTCCATATTCCAGTTTGTGGAAGGTTGTTAGAGGATAGGAGAAATCGATAAATCCTCGGAAGATATTGGGCAAGAAGGAAAAAAGTTAGAACCTTTCTTTTGTACAAATATCGATAGCCTGTCATTTTGAAGAAAACATGTACTAAAAGCACCTGGGCAAAAGAAACAAACAAAGCCAGTTAAACTTAAAGCTAATCATATAACTCACAAAAAAACATTAGGAAGTTGTTATTCGGGTATAGACGCTCCAAAAAAGTCATTCTGTACTTTAAACATGTGAATATAAGAGATAAAAAGAGCTTGGAGGAGTGCAGACTGATTTTTCTGGAGTTCCAATAGCAACATCTAAAAATTGATCAAACCTTAATTCTAATTGTCTTACTTGTGGGATGGGAAGAACAGCAAGAATGTCAGTAACGATCGAGCGCCACGACAACTTCCTGGCTACTGCCACAGCTTTCGATTCCCAACTGGGATTTTCCATTCCACGTGAGTTGACAGATTTAATGGCCTGACGAATTTGATGAATAATATGCACTACGAAAATGAGATCTGTGAGCAGTCGCAAAACAAGAGTTACATTCTTCAGCTTCTTGTCCATTCCAAGGCACTTGTTTTTTTCATTGATGAATGGAATGTAAAAGAACAAAGGGTCCAGTGACACAGCAGCATCACACATAAAATTACAAATATTTTTGTTCCACAGTAGATCATTTGCAAGAAGTCGATCCAGTTTTGGCCTTTTAAATTTTGTACTAGGTGAAGCTCCTCCAGGTTGCAGGTTAAGTCTGTTGGGATCGAAAGGTGTTTGGCTGAGAAGAAAATGCAAATCAGAAGGGGGGGTAAACACGAATTTGTGCCATAACTCTAAATTATGAATTACTTTTCAGAGCGTACTTCCTTTCTTTTTGAGAGAAACTAACCTTAATTCAATGGTGGACTCATTATTCGGGACATGCATCATTGGACACTGTTTACGTTCGACCGATTGTCCTGAAAAATTGAAAGAATATATGAACAGGTAGAGTAATTTACTTCTTTGGGAAAGAAAGCATGAACTAATACTGGTAGCAGTATGTATAATGTATTGATGAACTTACAAGCTAGAAAGATAACAGGGGGTTTCTTTGGAAGCAAATGATTGGCAATGTGGAAGAGAAATTGTGTCAGATTCAATTTTATTAGCAATTAGGGTTTAACCATTGTTTGGACATCTTCGTTGACGAAGAACTTGTCCAAGTCTTTTCCAAATATTCTCCTAATCTTCCTTCTTCATTTAATTTAATTTAAGTTCAACTTGTAGTTTCAAACGACGCTGCCAAATTGCTTGATAAGTTTGTTTGTTTTCCCCATATAGAGACAAATTTAATCTAGCTGCTCTTTTTTACTAAACTTAATCTAGCTGCTCTTTTTGACTAAACTTAATCTAGCTGCTCTTTTTGACTAAAGTCTTAAAAGAATAGTGAGGAATCAATAATTAAAAGGTATACAAAACGAATGAACCTCTAGCTCAAGTTGTAATATTATTTCAAATTTCCTAGAAGGAGGCGCGCAAACGAATGAACCTCTAGCTCAAGTTGTAATATTTGTAATATTATTCAAATTCCTAGAAGGAGGCGCGCAAACGAATGAACCTCTAGCTCAAGTTGTAATATTATTCAAATTTCCTAGAAGGAGGCGCATGCGCGCACACACACACACACCCATCTATCAGCTCTCCCTTCTTAAAAGAGACTATATTACACTGTAGCAATAACATATTAGGTTATCAACCCATATATAATTTTTTTGGTCCAACGATAAGTTTGTTATTTTAGATGTCAAATTAGGGAGTTGACGAGATTTGAACTTACGATGTGATGCTAGAACAACACTCATCTCCACCAATGTGGTAGAAGATACTTGCCCTATATATCATTCGATATATCCAATTGTATCCCTAAACTGTTGATCAAATTCCAATTAATCTACGAGCACTTTTTTTTTTCTTTGGCACATACCAATTTACCAAATACTAATACTAAATACTCATTATTTTTTTTGGGCATAATATGTTGTAAGCTCAAGAGACATTGCAAACAAAACATGAGAAGAGTGAGCAAAACAAGAGACACAAGTACGGCTTTAAAGCTACATAGCATTGAATACTACAAGTGTTTTAGTATTACGGTTAGTGATATTTCTCTTCAGCTGTAAGAA